GCAATGTTAATAATTAATATAAAATAATATTCAAATTTATAATCAGTATCATAAATAATATTTCAAGTAAAATAGGTATGAACAGTATTTGAAAAATCTGTATATATGCATTTCTTCCAAAAACAAGTTAGGAAAATTGACAAACAAGTTAGGGTTACAAAGGGGTGCCTAATCTGACACATTGTTATGCTCTCCGATAGAGGTGTGACGTGTCGAGAGATGCACCAGATCATTAAGATTGATTTAGGTTCAAGATTATGGGCAATAAAACCTAGCTTAGGCTCAAGTAACCAAAAACGACCATAGAAAAACGGAAATAAAATTTTTGTAACTTCTAAACCCTAATTTGAAAACCTCTAACATGCTACACAAATCAAATTGGGTCTAGTGCAAATAACTATAAACTAAGGCTTTAATACCGCTATAAGGTTTAGAACACACTAACAAATAATTTATGGCATAGGAAGCATATTATAATTCTAGCCATATGTTTAAACTAAACCTACAAGGATCCTATGTTCATACAATTATTGTGACTTTAAGAAAGATAATAATTACATACCTCTCTGTTAGCCAAATATCTCCTTGCTTGTAATCATGTTCTTGCCACTCTGATTGGATTTTAAGGATCCAAACCATAATCCCTCTAATTGAATCCCACTTAAGATCACCAACCAAGTAATAAGACAACCCTTTAGAGAGAGTAGGAAAATCGCCAAAACACAAACCCTAAAAGAGTTATTCTTGCTTCAAAATTTGGACAAGCAAATGGGGGGGTGGATTTTGAGCTAAGGTATTAAGCATCTAGGGTTTGATCTTCGGCTCCCTATTTATAGATATCATGTTGCTTAATGCCAAAACAACCGCCCGTTTGCTAAAATTTCCCCTGTACTGTTCTAATTAATTAAACATTTTAATTAATTAATATCTGGTCCCCGCAATTAATTAATTCCCTTTAATTCCAATTATCTTATAATTAATTTATAATACGATGAAAAATTAATAAACTAATTTCTCCTCATTTATTTTTATCATTTAATTACCAATAATTATGACCTTGGATATGTTTTCCATCAAATGGATCTCGGAAAAAGGAGTTCGATACCAAGAAGGGAGTGAGACAAGGAGATCCCCTCTCTTATTTTCTTTCCAACATTGCAATAGAGGGTCTTATTGTGTCACTAAACGAAGCTTGTGATCATAATATATTTCAAGGTATATCTTTACCACATAATGTCCCTTATTTCTCTGATCTCATGTACATTGATGATGTCACTTTTATGGGTGAATGGTCTGAATTTTCCTTTTACTTACCTTGGCCTTCATATTGGTGCAAAAATTAGGTTTGTGAAGTATTGGAAGCTGATTATAGAGAAATTTAATTCTAAGTTATCCATGTGGAAAGCGAGAAATCTTTCATTTGATGGTAGACTTACATTTGTTAAGTCCATTTTGGGAAGTCTTCCCCTTTATTACTTTTCTCTTTTTAAAACTCACAAGAAGAACATTGATATATTAGAAGGCATTAGAAGGAAGTTCCTTTGGGGAGGTGTTGATAATAAACAAAATATTCGCAAGGTGGCTTTGGATATCATGACTAAGTCAGGATACAAAGGAGGTCTTGGTGTGGGGAACTCTTTGATATTTAAACATCACGCTTATTTCAAAATAGTGGTGGTATTTAAAACTGGAAGCTAATTACCTCTGGGCATCTTGTATCAAGGCTTTACACAATACAAAATGTATTGAAGAAAAGTCTTTCACTAAGGGTAGCATCTCTGGTATGTGGATCTCAATTAACCAAATCAATGAGGATCTTGGAGATTGGGATTTTTCCCTTGATGACTTATTTATTAAAAAAATAAGTAATGAAAAACTCACTCACTTTTGGAAACATAGATGTTCTGGTGATATTTTTCTACAATATTGTTTTCGAAGGTTATACAAGTTTGAGGTTGACAACGTTTTGTAAGGTTTTAGGGAGGTTTTTTTGGTGACCAGACGGCTATTTTTTACGAGAAGTGGCATATAAATATGAATAGAGGAATGGTGGTAGTGGAGTTGGAAAACTTGGTGAAAATTATCGCAAGTTTTAACCTGTCCACTGATTTAGTTTCATGGCAGTGGAAAGTTAATAGTTCAGGACTGTTTTCGGTTAGATCTATAAGAAATTTGATGGAAGAAAGATGTAAGGTGTTAGCATGATGCGATATTTTGTATAGGTTAAATCGATGTCGATTAAGACCAACTGTATTGCTTTGGTGTATGCTTCACAACAGAATTTTGGTGGCTCAAAACTTGGTGATGAGAGGTATTAACCTTAATTCCTTAATATGCTTGTTTTATGGTGTAGACGAGGGAGGCATTTAGTATATTTTCTTCAGATGAGATATCTCTACTTAAATATGGAATTGCTTTATTAGGTAGTGTGTCTTGATTCCTGCTGCTCCATGCAATAGAGATGAGTTTTTGTGTATCTTGAAATCATCGATTCACGGGAAGAAGAAGAGAAATCTCAAGCTTAATTTAGTGTACTTGGTGGTGTGGTTGATTTGGAGAGCTCATAATGCCTTGGTTTACAACAAAAAGAGATGTCCCTCGTTAAAGGTGGCAGATTATATCCAGTTAAATGCATTCAACTGGATTAAATATAGATTCTAATTAAGTTATATATGATGGTGTGTTTGGTGTATTTCCCCATATGTTGCTTGCAAATTGTAATGGCGCTCCTCTATTTTTGTGTTTTCTTTGTAAGGGTATGGGTAGGGTACTATTGGTAGGAAGGAGATTTTATACTTTTTTATCTTGGGGTGTGTCTGATTAAATGACATGTGTGTTTATTGTGTCGAGGTATTTTTCATTTTTTAAGTGTGTTTGCAATTTTTGTCACTTTTTTTAGTGTTGGTTTCATGGGGATTTTGGTGCAGGTTGTCTTTTGGCATTGGTATCTTTGTGGATTTCATTGGTTTGCATGTTTTTTCAAGTTTGTAATATCTTTATGGTTTCTTTTCTTGGCAAGTTGGTTCTCTCTTTACAGTTAAGGAATTTGGTTGGTGTTCGTGTTAGCTTCAACTGGCTAAGGGTGTAACTGATGGGTACATTGTGTAATCCTTGTCATTTTCCCCTGCAGTTGGTGCTTATTGGTGTTTCCTTTCTTATTTTTCTTCAAAATTAGTGTTGCATTGCAGACTTTTATGCGATGTATATAATTCCCGGTGTTGATGGTCTTATTTTGGTTTGTCCCTTATGCCACTGGACACTTTTAATGGTTCCATGATTGTTGGTTTTAGTTGTCTTGACATTATCGAGTTGTTGATAATTATGCCTCTGGTGCCATTTTAGTGTTGATTTCAATTGGTTTGGGGGTAGTTGTGCTTGTGTTGCCTTTGGCTTGGGGTATGTTTGGTGTTGGAACTTTTTTTCCCTTGTTGAAGTTTGGTGTTACTACTCGTGTTTTGGAGGATGTCTCATTTATTGTTTTGCTGTTTTGGGCTTGTTACAAGCCACGATCTTCACTCTGACCATTGTTCATCCGTGACTCCGATGATACCTAAAACAATCTCGGGTGGGGACCCGAGAAGACGCTCTGATGGTAAAGTCAGTTTCCGATGAAAGAAAACGATCAAAGCTCAAAAAAGGGTATTAGGGTTTCTTATATCATGTGGTGAATCTGTTTACCAATTTGAATCGTGATAATCCTTTAGCTCAAATATTCCAATATGTTCAACCAACACATTCTGATCAACTCGTAATAATATAATATAATGTAATATTATATATATATATATATATATATATATATAATATATATATAGATATATATATATAGATATATAATATATATATATTATATATATATATAGACAATAAGATGTGAGGGTCGTTTTTTAATTAGGTTCAAATGCGTAATGCATTTGGGTAATGCGTTTGAGTCATGCATTTGAGTGATGAATTTGGGAAATGCACTTGAGTGATGGATTTAAGTGATGCATTTGTTTACATGCACTTATATCATGTCTGTCATTTCTATCCATCATTTATGGACTTCATTTATGTCCGTCATTTTTGGAAATCATTAATGTTCGTTATTTCTATTTATCGTTTATGTCCGACATTTCTGTCCTTCGTTTCTGGCCATCAAATACGTTTTCCGACATATGTATTTGAGAAAATAAAACCCATGTACATCTAATTCCAACAAGAACCCAAGTCTTTGGATACAGATAACATAGTCAAGTAGTCAAGTATGCCATATAAAGCCAATAGGATAGGTGCATGTGATAAAAGAATTTTGGCATGCATATGTCAATATCAATGGTAGGAGGAATTTGTGTGTGCATATGTCAATATAAATAATATAGATAATATTGGCATGCATATATCAACATCAATTTCAAACAATCAATGTGTCCTTTTCCTGCATATGTACATGTCCAACCTTCACATTTATAAAACGAGATGAATTAACAAACACATACCACTTACCAAATATTTAGAAAAATATGAATAATGAGAAGATAGCTCGTGAACAGGGTATGGAAGACATATTCTCAACTCTTTCGCAAGCAGGGTTTAGAAATGGTGGCCAACCAGTATGGATTGCATTCATCGGACAAATTTATTCCACATATCCCCGCTCGGCATATCAATGATCCGCCCCTTGGTAAAGTGGGTATTTATGTCAAAATGATGGAGACAGGACTTCGCTTCCCAATCTCCAATTTTCTTGAAGATTTATTATCTCGCTATTTTATATACATAATCCAACTATATCCAAACGCGATGTTCAAAATCGTGGCATTTGAACTCCTTTGCAAAGCAAAAAAGTCAAACCCTATGTTCCCTTATTCCGTATTTTCTATAGGTTATCTTCTAGCAAAGATTGGTATAATTTCTACAACCGCGATAAAGAGAAACAAATTGCATCATATCCAAAAATATCATCAAGGAAATAGAAACACGAATTCTTTTTGGTGAGCCAAAAAATCGTACCCCAAGGGATGATATTTGGTAACACGCCAACGATAGTCAATGAACCGACCATAAAATTTATCAAGCTTCAACTTCATAAGTACTTAAGCAAAATAGAGGGGTATTGTGTACCAGGAGACGAGATCGACGAACTCGTTCTTGCTGCTGGTGGAAAAAGTATTGTGTGGGATCGACACAATAGACTCATGGTCCCCAAGATATACGTGAGGATTAATGGTAAGTGGTTGTCACTTTTTGACAACTATTTCTCATAATTTTACGTTTGATTTTCATATTGTCGTGTTTATAAGAAAACATTAGTGAATATGTGAAGGCCTCTCCTGCGACATTACCCGAAGGAATTCAAACTAGAGGTAGATGTTGTATCCCCAGATTTCCACCAAGGTAATGAGAGGGAAGAGCCTGTGATGAAGACAACAAGAGGAAACTTGGATGTTAATGAATATGATGCCGATGAAAAGAGTGATAAGGATGAAGCATGTCAATTTGTTAGCCATGTAAGACATATCACTTTTATGTCAGGTTTTGCCCAATTTTCTAGGACACCATTCAAAAAGAAGAGAAAAGACTATGCTTAATTTGTGTCCACTACCAATATACCAAATGTAGAGCACTGTCAAGATTTTGGTGGTAAAAGCAGAGTTGCTTTTATGAATGTCATGCAAGGAGTAGCCATGGAGCTTCCCTCTACTCAGAGTGGTACCAACTTTGATACAACAAGCTCACCTGCTATTCTGGGTGATGGCTCAGACTCTAATTTTGGGACGTGGACACCTCAAACATCCTGCATGGCTGATCCTACTTGCATTTTTTGTCCATCTTGGAATATTACTTGTGAAACTGATGTGTTGGAATCAACATATAGCTCTGACTTCATATCCAACGCCTTTCCACAAGTAACTTTATCCCAAATGGACAAGATGAACACCGAAGAACTCACCATGAGACGGCATGCCCGCATGGTGTAGTCCATGGCGTATCATGTGGGGTTTGATAGACGGTACAAAACTGAACTTGAAGAAACTCGAGGGCGAGCAGCCATGGCCTTCATAGAGGCATCCGAGTATAAGACCAAATATGAGGTTGCCAAAAAAATCCAACAAGAGGAACATGGTCGCTTGGTTCGTCAAGTTTCCAATGTAGAACTCAAAGTAGCCAATCTTCGTGCTAATGATAATGAGTTAAATGGTCGACTCGCCCCCTCAAGGACTGATATAGGTTGGATGCATCAAGAAGGTACCTCCGAATCTTTTGATAAATCCATATGTTCGGAGACATTTGTGAGCAATTCCAAAAGAATTTACAAAGCATATAATGATTATGGCATAGTGCAAGGATGCAGATTAATGAAAGAATAGTATGGATTTCAGATCTTGGACCATGAGATGTCGAATGGGCATGCCGAAGAATTACAACATACACAAATCACATTTTTCCAACAAAGATTATGTGGCATCATCTGGACTGGACCGATCAATTTTTTAGGCTTTTGAGGCCTCTTTGATTGAAGAAGAAGAATGATACGGGCCTTTTCTAGAAGGAAATTCATTCGTTACCTTCTATGTCTTGTTATGTACACCTTTAACTATTCAAGTGTATTTTTCATTTGTAATGAATGTTTGTACTTTTTTGCTTCGGTATTTTGTTATTTGGAAAAAATATGATAAATGTATCATGTGTGTGCTCTTCAGCGTATGGGGAGAGAGTATGATACATGTCTTCCTCCCATATGGGTGAGTTGTGTAATTTGTAATGTTCAAACTCTCTCATGTTGTCTATAGTGACTTCTAGGTTATTTAGATAACCCAAGGATGTTTGTCTTTGCTAGGTGACAAGGTCACCCAAAATATGTCTCATGTGATCAATGATGTGGAATTGAAAAAAGGTGGCGGATATGTTACATTACGAGATAATGATAGACATTTCTAAAATTGAGCACATTCAAAAGTTCATATTTGAAATTTTCGAAAGCACTCAAGTGTTGAGACTCAAACTTGCAAAGTAACAAATCTAAATGTAGGACACAAGTACTAGAGTTGAAATTTAGACGTGCAAGAAACAGTAGATAACGTAAATACCAAAACTTATGAATGAAAACAAATACAATTCATTATAGAAGTTATATTTCCTTATGTTTATGATGTTCCATGTGCAAGGCACTGGGGTACCTTGGAGTGTTTCGAGCACATAAGACCCATTTTGGTGAGATTCTATCACTTTGTAAGGAACTTGCTAATTCTGGCTTAGCTTCCCCTCATCTGCAGCTCTACTCACTTCATTTCATCTAAACACTAAGTCCACTGCCTTTCAGGATCTTTCCTTGATGCAACTGTTGTAGTAATTCTATGTCTACGACTTATAAGTTGCTTGTCTTAGATCTGCCACCTCCCGCCTTTCATGAAAGAGATCTAGGTTTGCTCGTAAGTCTGTTTCAGATTCTTCTACGTTGAAACTGAGCACTCGATCAGTTAGAAATCCTATTTTGGTGGAAGAACAACTTCGAATTTGTAGACAAGGCTAAATGGTGTTTCATCAGTAGTGGTCCTAGTTGTCGTTCGATATGACCGTAGAAAACTAGGGAGCTTGTCAACCGACCGTCCCTTAGCGTTGGGTAGCCTTGTTTTTAGCCCTTTGAAAATGGTTTTGATAGTAACTTCAGTTTGACCATGATCATGTGTGTATGCTACCGAGGTGAACTTCTGCTCTATTTTCAAATTGATGCACCATTGCTTGAAAGGATTTTTTGCAAGTTGCTTACCATTATCGCTTAATATTGTATTTGACATGCCGAACCTACTAATTATATTTTTCCAGACAAACTTGAAAACATTTTTCCCCGCTATTACTGTAAGTGGCTCTACTTCCACCTACTTCGTGAACTAGTCAACTACTATTATCATAAATTTTACCTTTCCAGGTACTTCTGAAAAGGGTCCAACCAAGTCCACTCTTCATTGATGAAATGGCCAAGGGTTAGAGATGCTGACCATTATCATTACAGGAAGGGTGGGGTATTGGAGCGTGTTGTTGACATTCCAAATATCTGTTAACTAGAGCCTTTGCGTCTTTGTATATTGTAGGCCAGAAATATCCTAGGCGCACTATCCTGTTAGCGAGTTTCCTTGCCCCTAATGGGATCCACATATCCCCTCAGGACATAGTTGGCTTCATCAAGGTCAAAACATCGTAATCATGGCATTAAATACATGTTCTTGTAAAGCACTCCTTGCTTCATGAATAACTTGGGGATTTCATTCAGTCTTCCTGGCTTATCGATCATCGTTGGCTAGGATTTCGTGGACTAAGTAATTACGGATAGGAGTCATCCAACAATATTTATGAGTGGTGGAGCAGATGTCATTGAATTCTTTTTCTTACGTGCTACGTTCTTGTAGTATTTCTACGAGCACTTCCTTTGTGAGATGAGGGAAAGTTGTAGCTTCCATTTTACTCCATTCAGCTGCTTGCTTGTTTTTTGATCAGGGAACCTGCCCAATCCTAAATGTTTTAAGCCGACTAATAAGTTTGTTTATCATATTCAAATACTTTCGTAGATGTGGCTCGCATACATCGTATGATCTGTTAACCTACTTTCCCACAAACATGGAATCACCGAATGCCTTTAAGTGTTCTACTCCAAGGTGTTGTCCAACTTTATTCCCACAATAAGGGCTTCGTACTCAGCCTCATTTTTGAAAGTTGTGAATTCGAAACGTAAAGCGTACGTGATTGTTTCTCCACTGAGGCTAGTATGTACAAGACCTGCCCCTGCTCCATCATTGTTCAAGGCTCCATCGATAAACAATATCCAATAGTTTTCTTCTTCAATATTTTCCTTTTCTTTTTGGCGATCATGATGATTGTTCTTATCTTTTAGATGGGAATCTAGGGCGGTTTGGGCTTCTGTATCATGCGGGATCTGAGAAAGGAAATCTGCAAATGCTTGTCCATTGATGCTTACTATGGGATGGTACTCTAGGTCGTGCTCACCAAGCTCAACCACCCACTTGGCCATTCTTCCAGACCATTCTGGTTTGAGTAATACCTATCGAATGGGTTCATAAGTGAGTACTTGTATGGGATGTTCATGAAAATAACGCCTAAGTTGCCTTGCAACATGAATAAGATCTAGTGCCAGCTTCTCCATTGGAGGGTAATTTATCTATAGGCCGCATAGTACTCGACTAGCGAAGTAGATATACATCTGCTTTTTGTTTCTTTCGGCAACCAACACTACACTAATATCATCCAAAGCGACAAAGAGATAGATCATTAATGTCTCACTGGGAATTGGACACCCCAACGTTGGGAGTTGTTTGAGACTATCTTTTAACTTGGTGAAGGCTTCATTGGTCTTTTATGTCCAATGAAAATCTTTCTTATCTATGCACCCCTTCAGGGTCTTGAACAAAGGTAACAACTTCTCTACAAACTTAGCAAGGAACCGGACTAGCGCTACTAGTTTTCCACTGAGAACTTATATCTCTTTCAAAGTTCTTGGGGGTCGAATGGTGGCTAGGGCTTCCACTTTTTCAGGTTTTTCTTGGATTCCCTTGTTAGAGACTATGTATACTAAAAACTTTCCCTCTTCCACCCCAAACGTGCATTTAGTTGGGTTTAGTTTGATATTTACTTCTCTTAGTCTACAAAATGTTTCATTGATGTCCGTAATAAAGGTTTTGTCCCCTTTACTTTTTATAACCATGTCATCCATATAAACCTCCACATTGCACCTGATTTGATCTTTAAAACATTATCTACCATGTGTTGATAAGTGGATCCTACGTTTTTTTGGACCAAATGGCATTTTGGTGTAACAAAAGGTGCCTCGATCTGTATAGAAAGATGTTTTTATCTTCACAGTATTTTTCCAAGTGAATTTGATGATATCCCTTGTACGCATCTAGGAAACTCTTCCATCAGAAGCCTTCTAGAGATTCAACCTTTTGTTTGATTTAGGGGACGGGTAGCAATACTTAGGACAAGACTTATTGAGACTTGTATAGTACACACACATAATCCATGATTTGTCTCCTTTCTTAATAAAGAACGGGTTAGATATCCACACAGGGAATAAGGATTCTCTTAAAAATTTTTCTATGACCAATTTATTAACCTCTCCATTCACTGCTTTGCTCCTTTCACCTACCAACATGCATCTATTTTGCTTTATGGGATGAGCCTTTGTGATAAGATTAAGCTTGATTTCAGCCAAGTTTCGGGATATTCTTTCCATATCAGAAGGCGTCCAAGAAAAAAAGACCCATGTTGTATTGAAGGAGTTTTCGGAGTTCCTTCTCAAGTGACAGGGGAAGAGAAACTCTTATCTTTATTGGTTGATCGGGCTACTTCTTGTATATGAATTATTCGTCCTCATAATCTCTTTGTCGTTTTTGATCGAGGTCAAGCTGTTTAGAGTCAATTATTTGGTTGTAGCGTGGTGTGGTCAGTGGCACGTAGACCATGATCCCAACCCCATTATATGTGGAAATTTTGACTAAACCATGCAACGTAAAAGTAACGGTCTTGATTTTCCTTAGTCTTTCTCAACTGAGGATGATGTTGTATGGGGAAGGTGCTCGAACCACAACAAATTCAACATAAATTGTTTTCCTTACGTCTCCCTTATAGTCTCCCACTATGAAGGGGAGACTAATGGTGCCTAGTGTCCAAAGTGAGTGTCCGTCAAAGCTAATAAGAGGGGATGAAGGATCTTTGAGTTTTTCTTTTGTATTTGCTAGGAAATATTGGAAACAACGTTTAAATATTACCTCCAATGAGCTGCCTCCGTCAACATATATATTGTGGACCCGAACTCCGTCTACTACTTCTTGGATAAAGAAGGGCTCGTCTCCCCTATAGTCTTTTGGCATAGGGTCATTTTCGGTAAAATGTAATGTCGCATCCACTAGGAAGAATAGGGTCATCTATTCCTTTAGACTTTCTTGATCAAATTCCTAGAATCTCTTTTTCATTATGCTTACTGGTTTATTCTTTGTCTCATGGTCGTTTATCTTTATAACTCATGTTTTCATATCCTTGATGTAATTGTTCAATTCTCCAGACTTCATGCGGCATTCAATCTCTCTCTTCAACATGTTTCACTTTGTTGTATCATGACCACGACTCGAGTGATTTACGTAGTACTTGTTATTTTCATTAGAAGGATATTTCTCTGGTACCATCTCTTCTGATGTGTCTTTTTCATCAGTGATCGCTAACAATTCTTTCTTTGATTCCCAATGTTTATCTCAACTAAAGGGTTGGAATATGTGATTGGGTACATGGCCCATGGTAAGCCGATTCCCTCTGCTACCTTGTTGTGACCTCTCCATCACATTAGGTCTAGTTTTCTTGG